AGAGAGAGAGAGAAAGAATAAGAAGAAGAAAAAAGAAGGATGATTTGATTTTGATTTTAATTTTGTAGAAGTAGTAGGTTTAGGGTTTTGAATCTGAAAAGGAAATGAAAAGAGAAATGAAGAAAACTGTGATTTTGGGGGAACTTGATTTAAACTGGAAAAAGAGAAAACAAATTTTCATGTGGGCCCCACTAAAAGGAGAAACTGAGAAGATGACAATTTGACGTGTAAAAAAATGTCAAGGTGACAATATTTTCTTTGCTGGATATACACATCATTAAAATTTTAAAAAGCCAGTGATATTGTGGCATTTTAACGTGCCACTTGTGCATTTAACTGACGGAAGGACTATTTTGGTATCAAAAATAAAAGTTTAAGGATAATTTTGGTATTTTTTAAAGTTGAAGGAAAATTTTAGTGCCAAAGTGGAAAGTTGAGGGACCAAAATGGTACTTTAACCTAAAATCTATGAAAAAACATAAACAAGGTGCTAAACTTGTAAGAATTGGTAAACAAGCATGCGAATAACCAGCAAATTGCCATTCGTTCTGTTCTTGAAATTCATAAAAAGAGATAGGAAAAACCAACTTACATAACAAAAAGATTATTAAACAATATAGTTTATGAAAAGGTTAAATGCTTAATTTGGTCCCTCAACTATAGTGGTTTGCACATTTTTGGTCCCTTAACAATTTTTTGCACTTTTTTGATCCCTCAACTACAAGAAATGCACTCCGTTAGTCCTTCTGTTAATTTGAGCCGTTAACTCCGCTTACGTGGCATTTTTTATATTTTTTTTGATGATGTGGAGAGCAAAGTGATGACATGGAGAGCAAAGTGATGACATGGACAAACATTTTGACATTTAATATTATCTTTTAATTTTTTTTATGACGTGGCAAACATTTTGACATAAAATTACTTAACTACCCCCACCCACCCAATCCTTCTTCTTCTCCTTCTTTCTTTCTCTTTCTTTTTTCCCTGCCCTGGGTCTCCATGGCTGCGACGAACCTAGCCTTGCTGGGTTCAGGGAGACCCAGCCAGATCTGGGTTTAACGAAACCCAGATCTGGCTGGGTTCGTCGAACCCAGCCTAGCTGGGTTTCTTGCTGGGTTCCGACGAACCCTGCTGGGTCTCGTCGAACCCAGCCTTGATGGGTTTACCCGAACCCAGCTATTGGGTTCGACGAGACCCCAACCCAGCTTTGCTGTTTTGATGTTGAATTTATGTTTTTTCATTTTTCTTTGGATTTTCATTTCTAGTTGTTAATAAATTTGAGAGTTGATTTACAATTTAATTGTATTTTTGTTGGAGTTTGATTGATATTGTTTATTTTGTTTATTGAATGGTTAATTTGATTTGATAAGATTTACTAAGTTTGAGGCTTGAATGAAACCCAGAAACTGGGTTCAATTTCTCAAGGAAGAGGAGTGGAGATGAGAGAGTATTTAGAGAGGAAGAAGAAATGGGTTAAGATTGATTCTCTGGAGTGGAGGTTAATTTTGCAGAGAGGGAAGATGAGCAAGGAAGATGAGGTTAATTTTGCAAAGAGGGAAGATGAAAAGGAAGATGACATGTCGCCAAAAAAAGTCCAAATCAGTGCCTTTTAAGTTGTTTTTGCCATGTCATCCAAAAAAAATATAAAAAATGCCATGTGGCCAAGTTAACGGCGAAAATTGACAGAAGGACTAACGGAGTGCATTTCGTATAGTTAAGGGATAAAAAAAGTGCAAAAAATTGTTAAGGGACCAAAAATGTGCAAACCACTATAATTGAGGGACCAAATCTAGCATTTAACCTTATGAAAACTAACAAGAAACACCATATAGACTAGCTAAAACTAATTTGCCGTTGAAATATATCATATGGACTATCCTAAATAAAAGATTTGTTCAATAAACCATACTGAATATTTCACAATTATATTTAAAAAAACAACAATTATAAGAAATCATCATGGCTAGTTTATGTTCAAAAATTTTGAATCCCTTGTGTCAAGCATTATGTTGCCTTTAAGTAAGATTATCTATGCAGAGAGTTGGATGGTTCTTCTTTTGCCTCTTTTGTTTAGGTTTTCCATAATCCTTGCATGCCAAAAGATACAATATTACTGAGAGATGACATTACATATTTACCTGTTTCTAAACTATTAAGATGTGAACATAATAATTCAGATCATATGCATATTTATTGTAAATATTTTATATTTTAAAATATTTTTTTTGTATACTTTATATCTTTAAATATTCTCTTTGTAAACACTTATATATAAGTTATTGTACATGCAATATTATTCAAGAAAGCAATAAACATTTCTTCAAATATTGTAAATATATATTTTTTTAAGGATCTTTTTAACTAGCAGTCCTCAAATGACAGAGTATTCTATCGACCAGTAAAATGCTGGCTACAACTAGGTTGAGGACCAACTTATACTTTCAATAAAATAAAAAATTTTAGATCATAAATGAAAATTTACCGAATGGATGATAGAAAATCAAATTTTGTGAAACACAAGCAGAAAAAAAAAAAAACAAAAACAAAAAAACAAAAAAACAAACAAACAAACAAAACAGGGTCGTCGAAAACTTGCTTGCTGCCTAGAAACAACTTTGTCCTATTTCGTCAGTAACATCAATCTCTTCGTTTGTTAATCTTTACAAAATAATTTTTTTTAAAAACAAATATTTTGAGAAGTATCAAAAAAAAAAAA